TCGCCGCTCCTCCTCCACGCCGCTCGTGCTCCTGTACCCCCTCCCCAAGCCTGCGGGAGTCCGACAATTCCAAGTCCTGAGGTGTGTCTGCGTTTCATCGTTGCGCTCACTCCGCCGGCCCATACTGGTCATGCGAAGAAGTGCCATGGGTGAGGGGGTAACTTAAGGCCAAGAGGGGTTTGTAGAAGTGCACGCTGCGCGGAGTTGCACCTCAATGCTCCAGGGCATGATGCGATGGCGAGCGCCTGCAGGAGCCAATCGCACAGACGCGGTCAGAGGTGACAGCTGGTCAAAACGTTCGCAGCCCGGTGGCCCAGCCTGCGGATTGCAAACAATCCTAGCGTGTGATCCTCTTGCCGCTCTTTGGTGGCCTGACGCGCAAGATGGGCCGCCTCGACCATATCGGCCACGGGCTTCGGTGACTCCGTGCGTTCGAGGTCACGAGGGGCGCGTGGGAAGCCGTTGGATGGCAGTCGTATCCCCTCTTTGAGCCCCTTCGGGGTCATCTTGGGGAGTCCTGAAGCTCACAGGAAGCGAAAAGGTGAGATTGCCAAAATCATTTCACAATGTGCTGCGTTTCCTGAACAGCTAGTTTGTAAGGACTCTATCTAACTTGACTAGGGAACGACTAGGTGCTTTGCTGGATCCAGATCGGTAGGGCAATGTTGGCCCGCTGGCCCCCGTTAGTGTCAGGTGGCCCGCCAGATCCAGAATCGGTTAGGCGACGTTGCCCCCCCCTGTTGGCCCCAAGTTTTATGAGCATAACTTGCATACTTCGTACCAGCAGTGGAAATCACAATAGTATCAATATTCGCATGCGTATTAGGATCAGCCCTCGTAGTGCGCATCGGTAGTCTTATTAGTATTAGTATTGTACTGTTCACGAGTATGATTACCAGTTGTAGTCGAAGTAGTAGTGGTAGCGCAGTGGTAAGAGTAGCAGTCGTAGTAGTAGTAGTAGTAGTAGTAGTAGTAGCAGCAGTAGTCGTAGTAGTAGTAGTAGTAGTAGTAGTAGTAGTAGTAGTAGTAGTAGTAGTAGTAGTAGTAGTAGTAGTAGTAGTAGTAGTAGTAGTAGTAGTAGTAGTAGTAGTAGTAGTAGTAGTAGTAGTAGTAGTAGTAGTAGTAGTAGTAGTAGTAGTAGTAGTAGTAGTAGTAGTAGTAGTAGTAGTAGTAGTAGTAGTAGTAGTAGTAGCAGTAGCGTAGTAGTAGTAGTAGTAGTAGTAGTGCTGGTGTTGTTGGTGGTGTTGTAGCTTTAGAAGTAGTCGTACTAGTAGTAGTAGTAGTAGCAGGAGCAGTAGCAGCAGTAGTAGTAGTAGTAGTAGTAGTAGTAGTAGTGATAGCACTAGTTGTAGTAGTAGTAGTAGTAGTCGTCGTCGTCGTCGTGTAGTAGTAGTAGTAGTAGTAGTAGTAGTAGTAGTAGTAGTAGTAGTAGTAGTAGTAGTAGTAGTAGTAGTAGTAGTCGTAGTAGTAGTAGTAGTAGTAGTAGTAGTAGTAGTAGTAGTAGTAGTCGTAGTCGTAGTCGTAGTCGTAGTCGTAGTCGTAGTCGTAGTCGTAGTCGTAGTCGTCGTAGTAGTAGTCGTAGTCGTAGTCGTAGCCGTAGTCGTACGCGTAGCCGCAGCCGTAGTCGTAGCCGTAGTAGCTGTAGCCGTAGTATAGTATTCGCATCAGTATCCGCCTCAGTAGTAGTCATGCATGGCTTGGTTTTATGTATGCGCAAGGGCATTTATAGCAGGAGTGATTGAACTAGTGTTCATATCAATATCAACTGCACTAGTATACCGCACACATAAAGAATAGCAGTTGCATTCGTATCAGCATTAGTATCACCAGCCGTGTAATTATGAGTCTTGGCATTTGCATTCGGGAACAGAGTCGCATTCGCACACGTACTTAGAGTGGTACTCGCATTAGTTCCAGTATCCGTACGAATATACTTTCCGCCGTAACACTACCAATGTTAGTAGTCGTATTCTGCATACGAAGTAGTAGTGTGTAGTACTATCAGTTGCGGTAGGATTATTAGTTCGTAATCGTAGTTGTTCTAGTAGCTAGGTGGATTATTGATGCTTCTTCGTTAGTTGGTGGGTAGTAACAAACTAGAGGTAGTAGTTGCTGTTGTAGTGGTAGTGGTAATAGAAAGGGCCAGGAGGTAGATTGTCGTGCCCCCGTGGGAAGTTGTTGGGGGCGTCATTGTTTGTTTTCTGGGCCTCCTGAAGGCTTCTTTGGAGATGTCTTGGAATATACTAACTCACTTCGGCACTGTCCTGGGACATCTTGGGGTTGTTTGGGGGGCATACTGGGGCTGTTTCGGGGCCGCGCCGGGGCCTGCCATCCCTTGACGCTTGCCGTGGGCCACCCTGGAGCCTGTTGGACCTGCCTGCGTTGGGCCTCCATAGAGTATTAGTTTCAGCATGCGCATACATAGTCGCATTGTTTATCTGATTGTAAATGCTCGTCTTGGATGTAGTATTCCGCATACGAACCTGCAGTAGTAGTACTAGCAGCAGTAGATGTGCATCAACATGACTACTTCGCAAGAGTG